GGCGGTGGGGAGACCCTGCCCGGGCTGGTGCCTGCCGCCGTGTCGCTGTCCTCCTCCTCTCCCGCCTCCCCTCGGCCGTCGCGGTGTTTTGGGAGGCACGGGGAGGGTGCCGAGTGCCCTCTGTCTCAGTGAAGTGCGTTCACTTTTCTCACTAGTGCTGGAGGGAGACAACTGCGTGTTTGATGGGATGATTTATCGCAACGGGGAGACGTTCCAGCCCAGCTGCAAGTACCAGTGCACCTGCCGAGACGGACAGATCGGCTGTCTGCCCCGCTGTAACCTGGACCTGCTGCTCCCCGGCCCCGACTGCCCTTTCCCCAGAAAAGTTGAAGTCCCTGGAGAGTGCTGTGAGAAGTGGATCTGTGACCCTAAAGATGAAGTGATTTTGGGAGGTTTTGCTATGGCTGGTGAGGAAACTAAAACTGTCACAGTCGTTGTGAGGAGGAGATGGTACCATACTGGAAATATCCGTGGGGTTGCCAAATCTAAGTGCTTTGTGCAGTTGGTTTTTTCTGCTCTTTTTTTTTTTCTTTTTTTTAGAGTCACTAGTAAGTATACAGTGGTTATGAATAAAGGCAGAGGTTGGTAGGCAAAAGAAAAGATATTCAGAGGATGAGCGTGCATAGCAGTTTTAAAAGGTAATTAGCTTGAGTTAGTTCCCGGTTCTGAAATCACTGTTTATCTCGTACAGGGTAGTTCAATGAGTGGAATAAAACAGGGGCAAGCTCATAATCCTCCAAACATTATTTCCACCTCCAGATCAAAGCTGCAGTCTTGCTAGTTGCTCTGCAAGTGTACGTTGCATCATAAATACTATTATAACAGCTAAGTCTACAGGAGACGTCTTTTTTCCACTTAAATTCCCCAGCTATTACAAGTGGTCAGCATGGTAGCTAAAATGCCAGCAAATTCCTGCATGTCTGTGCTAGAGCTCTCATCATTATTGTTGGCATCAATAGCATTACAAAGTACTTGGAGAAGCAGTGGTTATAAACACAGTGAGTGGATTTGAAAAAAAAAAATCCCATTCCAAAATGCAGAACTCATAAACTGCTTTTCTGATTGAAAAAATAAAGCTACGTAATATTTTCCCCATGTTTTCTTACTGAATTATGTCTTCATGCCCTTTAAATTAGACTATTAGTTCAACATTAATTTTCATAAGCTACTTTTACCGAGAGTTGAGGGCACTGCATTCTCTTCCAGTCACTGCTCTTTGTGGTCTTAAGCAGTTAGTTATGCTGAAACTCAGCTAATCCATTTGAAAAACAAGGAAGGAAGGATCCAGGAAGAAATGCTCTAATAACTTGTCAGAGTGCTATGAAGTGTCAGTTGTAAGGCACATAAGGTATAAACAAAAAGCTTGCCACCTTTCTGCTGTTTTTCCTTTTTGATTTGTTTGACAGTGACAGACTAATCTGTAAAATGCCAACAGATGGATTATCTGTGTTCTTTCTAGCACTGGCCATCCCTCTTGGGAGGACACCTTTTTGGAGCTTTACCGTGCAAAAGGCAGAAATGCTGTTGTAAGAGGAGCTGAACACCAAGAGCTATGACTGACAGCTCAGCCGTGTTGCCTCATTCTGTTTACTCCTGTTCTAACCGCTGCAACAATCAATGCAGTTAATGAGCGATATTTGCATAATACAGCTTAACACTGTCATGAGGGCAGGACAATGATCAAAGTTGGCTATGGCTTTGAGTAGCTCTGATAACTCCTGGAAATTACTTCCTTCCTCCTTCCCCGCCATCACCCTGGCTATAATCTGTCAATAATTGACAAAATTGGGTGACTTTATGACTCTTGGAGTAAAGGACTTTCCTTCCATGCTATTTATTTAGATAAATCATTCAGCCTCTCTCAAATCTAATATAACTATTTTTATGACATAGCTTTAGAACAGATTTGTGATGTATCTCCATTGGAAAGATGAGGAATAAAGAGTGTTAGAGTTCTAAACTGGTTAAAAAATTGGCAATAATTCTTCAGCTGTGGACTTGAGTGAACTGAATCTAAATGCTCTGCTGATTGCACTGATATGCACCTTTCTGTTATTTTTAGATGTAGGAAGTTGCCATCCAGGGCTCCCAAGAAGGCAGCTTTAAAAATGGCTATATCCTGTCAAAAGTATGGATTTTGGACCTTTTTTTTTTTGTCTCACGTGTTTCTTCCCAGATGTGGTAGCGCTTGCTTAGATACTGGGTTTTCACATGAGTTTTTCTTGTAATAAAGTTCTGTGGGGTTTTGTCTCCAGCCTACAGACAAGAGGCCACAGTCGGGATCGATGTGTCAGATTCAAGTGCCAATTGTATTGAGCAGACAACAGAATGGAGTGCTTGTTCCAAAAGTTGCGGAATGGGCTTTTCCACCCGTGTGACCAACAGAAATCAACAGTGTGAGATGGTGAAGCAGACACGGCTTTGCATTATAAGACCTTGTGAGAATGAAGAGCCATCGGATAAGGTATGCTGCAGAGTGGCAGGGGAGCAGGTTCTCTTCAGCTGTAATTCCAAGGGTGCAATATTATGGTCTAGAACACTCCAGATGCAAGCGTACGTAAATACGCCTTTTAGCGTGTATGCCGCAAGCCCAGTCTTTTTGGACAGCATTAGACTTGCTGTGTTTGCTTAGTAGCTTTGTGCTGCACCTCCAGCAGGTCAAGATTTTGCCCCTCTGCTCTGCTCTGGTGAGACCTTACCCCATTGGGCTCTGGAGTCCTCAGCAAAAGAAAGACATGGACTTGTTGGAGCAGGTCCAGAGGAGGGCCACAAAAACGGTCTGAGGGATGGAACACCTATGAGGACCTGTGAGGACAGGCTGAGAGAGCTGGGGTTCTTCAGCCTGGAAAAGAGAAGGCTCTGGGGAGACCTTACAGTGGCCTTTCAATACTTGAAAGGCAGCTTATAAGAAAGATGGCTTTAAACTTTTTAAAGGGCCTGTTGTGATGGGACAAGGGGTAATGGTTTTAAACTAAAAGAAGGTAGATTTAGACTAGAAATAAGGAAGAACTATTTTACGATGCGGGTGGTGAAACACTGGAACAGGTTGCCCAGAGAGGTGGTAGAAGCCCCATCCCTGGCAACATTCAAGGTCAGGTTGGACGGGGCTCTGAGCAACCTGGTCTAGTTGAAGATGTCCCTGCTCACTGCAGGGCGGTTGGACTAGATGACCTTTAAAGGTCCCTTCCAGCCCAAACCATTCTATCTTTCCATGATAATTTCAGCCGTCCCAAACGGATCAGATGTATTGCACGTGCAGACTGTTTTGACAGCTCACACAGTCTAACTTCTGCAAATGCAATCAAACTACCTGCATGTGTACTTCAGAGCTGCTCCAATCATGCAGAATGGATATTTCAGATTTCTAGTCTGTTGAGCATCTGGAACTCCAGAGAAATGTATGAAATCCTGCAAAATCTGCTTGGATAAATTAAACTTTATCTTAATCCTTGTGATGCTTTTTCCAAAAGCAAATCCAACACTGACACTTCGGGCACAATAAATGTGTATCTAAGGGAACTGACTTTTTTTTGCTGCTTCTAAGCATTATAGAAGTGTTACTGTTGGGGAGAATAACATGCAGCTAGGTAAGAGGGCCTTCACTTTATGTAATGTTCTGAGTGTTGGAAAGCATTGCTAAGGCCTTTGCTGAACACTCTGTGCAGTTTTAAATACCATATATTGAAAAGAATATGAAAAATTTGGGAAGAGTTGTGGAGGCTTAAGAATGTTCAGAGGTCTAGAAAACATGTTCAGCTGTGGAAAAATTGATTGAACTGGACTTTTTCTGAGTGCAAGAGAATGGAGATGTGTTCTCTTAACTGTGTTCAGGTATTGCAGCCTGTGCTGAGTCCATGGGGGATAGAACAAGAAATGGTGAGTTTAGATTGCATAAAAACAAAGACATCAGTGAAAACCTTCCAAGCAGTAAGAGCAGTGTACTGTTAGGATTGTGTGGGGCAGGTGTGGAGTCTCTGCCACTGAAGACTTGCAAGGACGAATTAGACAACCCTCTGTTAAGAATAAGGTGGATAAAGCTGATTCTGCCTTGGATCACGAGAACAGGCTATGACTTTTGACATTTGTTTTAGCCCTCTTCTCCCCCCCGCTGCCCTGAATCTAGTCGTGTAAGTTGCTCATTTGGCTTCCTGATTCTCTGGTGTAACCACAGTAGCCTGAGAAGTTTTCCAGTGTAGTTTCATCATGAATGTTGGTTTGGCTTGTTTCAGATGACAAGAATGTACTTGAATTATTTGTCATTTATTACTGGCCCAATAACACAGTGATGTCAAAGGGCAGATCTTGCAGGAGTAAGTAGCTACTGAAGTAGCTGCAGAGTCTTACTGCTGTTGAATGAGCAAAGACAACAAATTTAAGTTTTCAGAGTAGACCTATATCCCTGCATGTCGATTTTTAACTTGCTTTCTGTCTTATGCAATGATATATCTAATATCTCTTCATATTTCTCTTAGAAAGGGAAGAAATGTATCCGGACAAAGAAGTCCCTGAAAGCTGTTCGCTTTGAATACAAGAACTGCACTAGTGTGCAGACATACAAACCTCGTTACTGTGGCCTCTGCAGTGATGGGCGATGCTGTACCCCACACAACACCAAAACGATTCAAGTTGAGTTCCGCTGTCCTCAGGGCAAAGTCCTAAAAAAGCCAATGATGTTGATCAACACCTGTGTCTGTCATAACAACTGTCCTCAGAGTAACAATGCTTTCTTCCAGCTGTTAGATCCGACGTCTAGTGAAGCAAAAATATGAAAAGCATAAATTAGGTAGTGCAAAAGGTATAAATAGTTTATATAAAACTTGACCCACAATCAGGTGAATGTAACAATTGCATATGTAAAATATCTAAGATGTTTTTCAAAACAGTCTAGGCGCTTTCCTTTTTCCTGTAGTTTATTGAATACCTCATTTTACCTTTTCTTCCTCCAAATGTCTTCTATTCATTTGAAGGAAATTTTGTACCTTGGACAGAGCCTTCTTTTTTTCTTGATGGTGGCATAAAGATTACAAAGCCAGCAGCTAGACTTTCTCCTTGAGTTAAGGGGATCATGCCATGAGTTTCAGTAGCAGTAAGACTGGGCTCTTTAAGAGTAAATGGATTCCTTGGGGAATGCACGATACCGTATCACATAAGCTTCCAGATTCTTAACTTCACTTTGCATAATGCATATAAACACTTAAGCAGTGTTCTTTTTCCATTCTAATGAACCTCTGTTTCTGATGACAGTAAAAATCTTACTGATGAAAGCATTGCGTTCTTGTGTCTTATAAAATACCTGCTATCTAAACCTCCAGCTTTCTCTGAGAATTAAGTTTGCGCATAGCCCTTGAAATGACATAGCTAAGATCTCTTATCCTGAAGTGTAGCAGATTGATAGCTGTCAGCAATTAAATTTCTCTTTGGTAACTTCACTAGCAGTCTAATCCAAAACACACTGAAGTCAGCATCTTAGAGGAACTTGGCTCTAACCAATGTGTGTCTGTAGATAAAACTATTTGGATGCAAAAATAAAATTTCTGTACATTCCTTTAAAATACTAACTGTATCATATGGTGCTTCATTTCTTAGAAAGGTGTATATGTAAATAGAAACTGTATATATTGTAATATAATTTTACTAAGTAAATAAACTGTATGTGATTCCAAATATTTTTTCCTAAAGTTGATTTTCTTAAAATACCAGCTTTTACCAGCTAAAAGTAGTGGGAAGAAAACGGGTCTGCAGACTCCTAAAATCGAAAGACCCTATCTTGTGATGTTCTTTGTGTACCTCATCATAATCATTGCCCTAACAGGTATGCAGTGTCTTGGTGCAGGAAAGGGTGAATAATTTGTGAGGCACACATTAGAAGGGAGGTTTCTTTCTGGGTAAGTTAGCCTGGGAGGCAGGACGTTGCAAATAAAGTTAGGTTTGGGTGCGGTGTGCCCTGAAACATAGTGGTGGTGGGGAAAAATAATTATGTGATTTGGTGTTCGGGTTTGGGGTCTGAAGTACCAAGAAAGTACTTAATTGGGTCTTACAGCATTTCAGCCTCACAAAAGCAGCCTGTGACCCTGCCTGTGCTGGATACTGTATGGTGATACCCCCCCGGAATATAAGGCCTGAGGGTGGTGGTTGCATGAACATTAAATCATGTACGTAACAGGACTGTGCAGATAGGTCAGAAGTACAGTTGTGCAGATATTCAGCTGCCTAGACTGTAGGACCAAGCTTAGCTTGGTGTGTGTCTCTGTTAGAGATACCAAAGAACTACTTACGCCACAACCGTTCTGTAACCATTTGGTAGGAAACTACTGTCTCGAGAAAAAAAGGCAGCAGGCCAAATCTCAGCATATTTGGCCTAGCATCCTCCTCCTCTGGAGGAGCTAGCAACCTCCTCCTCTGGAGGAGCTAGCAACCTCCAGTGTGGCAAATCCTGAGATAGACACAGGGTGTAATTCAGCTCCAGGTTAAGACTCCTAAACTTAGTGTCTTCATGCAGACATCTAAATGCCCACTTTAGCCAATGAAGCCTAAAGTAAAGCTAACTGTGAGCAAGTATCAACAGCTGACGGTTTTTTTAGTAACATCTAAGTCATCCTTAGAAGTATGAGGCCCTGGTGCTAAAACTCATACTGCTTCAGTTAAGGTTAGATAGAGCTTGGATCCTCACCTGGTTTTCCCTACTAACTGTGCCAGTGATAAATTTCTTTGTAGTCATTGCTGTTGTTACCGACACATCCCTGCCTGCCTTATGCTGTTCAAACAACTGGAACAAGACTAGTCTCGCCCCTTATCAGGAGTGTGCCCATCCACATGTGCACACTGCCTGCCCTTGCGCTGGTTAATTCCTAATCAGAATCACAGAATGATTTGGGCTGGAAGGGACCTTTAAAGGTCATCTAGTCCAACCCCCCTGCAACAAGCAGGGACATCTTCCACGAGAGCCCCGTCCAGCCTGACCTTTAATATTTCCAAAGATGGGGTATCAACCACCTCCCTGGGCAACCTGTTCCAGTGTGGCACCACACTCATCATAAAAAAGTGTCTTCCTTCTATTCTTTCGTCATAGGAGAGGTGTTCCAGGCCTCTGATCAGTTTTGTGACCCTCCTCTGGACCCACTCCAACAAATCCATGTCGCTCTAATGTAGAGAGTTTTTAAAGTTCTTCTTGGTTTTGCACCCCAGCCACCTTATGTGCTAAGAAATTGAGAGTGCTGGAGAGCATGAGGCCAGGACTCCTCTAGGTGTCTGAGGAGTGGTTAAGAAGCAGGTTAGAGTCTAGGAGAGAGGGAAGAAAGATTATTTAGAACCGCTTTCACGCCACATCTCTGTTTGCCCCCTCCTGAGAATCAGGCTAGTTTGTGCAATGCTGTTCTGATATCACATGCAAGCTATCGAGTATTTCTTAGCGTCATCTTGCAGATTACATGCGTCTGGATTTGCAAGAGATGCGTCAGCTACCAAGCAATGCAGCATTTGACTGTCTGGACAAATTTAAACAGTCTTTGGTTAATAAACTCAGCTAATCCTGAGTCAGGAGTAATAAGAGGGGAATGCAGTCAACCATTGATTTCCTAAAAAGTAAAATGGTTCACTCAATGACTTTATTTTGACAATTCCTCTACTCCTTTCACATCCCAAGTCATTTATACTTGTGCATCAGCTTATCATTGTTGCATTGCTTCTCCTTTATACCTCTGCTTTCCCTTCACGTTATCTAATTTTTCCCATAATTCCTTATGTTTTCCTTTTATTGGATCATAGAAGCAAAGCACAGGCACCAGGGAGAAGCAGTTCAGTAAGCAGTTTCCACTCTGCAGGCAAGTTGAAGGCTTAATCTGGGATATGAACCCACAACCCCTTGTACATTAAGATCATCCGCAACTCTTAAGTTTGTGGGTTTTTTCCCTTCCAAAGGCAGGAGTTTAATTTCTGATATTTTTGAAGAGACATAAGCCCAGCTTTTTTGAGACACTTCTCATGTCTCATCCACATCAACACTCAAATGATGGATCATCCATCACTTCCTTTGAGAAGGGGACTATGTGCACTATGACATAAGAGTTCAGTTCTAACTCAGGTAACTTGTCTAGAGACATTTCCCCAGCACTTTAAACTACGGTCTCCACTTCACTACACCCAGCGCCAAAACGGCCCCTATAATCTTCCTTAGTGCTGCTCTATGTGATCTCCACATCTTCAACCTGTTTTGTGAGAAGTGAGTTGCATCACAACCTTCATGAAAGAAAAGTGCTACAGTGTTCAATCCTTATTAGTTGTCTTTATTAACACCAGAACTATTGCAATCT